CACTTAGCGAGGACTGTGCCGGGGCCGGCGGCAGGCTGGCAGGTGCATTTAAAAAGCGAGATGGACAGGTCGCTGCGTGGGTGGACGGCCAGGCCACTGGACGGGGTCGAACGTCCGCGGAGCTGCCAGTGCGTGTGGGTCCGGCGTTTCTGTGTATGGGAGGGTCTTCGTTGCCGGGTGTTTGGGAGGAAAACAACCAGATAGCAGCAGCCGCTTCCCAGATGGCTCTGAGAGACGGGTGGGGATACCCGGCGTCTGGGGGCACAGCACAGCCTGTGTGGCCGTGAACTTGATACAGCCGACGTGGCACCCACACCGAGGTGGCGCACAGCCCCGCTCCTGGCGGGCACAGAGGCCCGGCTGGGGACATGCCACCAGGAAGCCGCAACGCAGCCCTCAGGAAGGCGTGTGCAGACGCCGAGCTGGCTGTGCGTGCCCTGGCCACGCCCTGGACAGCAGGTGTTTGTTCCCGTCACCTGGGAAGTCCAGCTGGTCACACGTGCTGGCCAGGCTGCAGAGCCGAGTGTCACGGCGTTTCCGGCTGAGTTCAGGGTGCCCGTCTCTCTGGAGCCACGCGAGTGTCACGTAGCTATGTGCCGCACAAGGTCGTGGCTGTGTGCGCGCCACGGGGGTGTTGTGTGTGTGCAGTGGAGTGGCCGGGGTCAGCAGCTGTCGCACCGGGGGACTCTTAGGGTTCCCTAGCGCAACCGCAGGGAGAAATGAGGACTGAAGCTGAGTGAGCCTTGGCCCTGCTCCCTGCCAGCTCTGTGACCTCGAGCACATTACTTAACCTCTCTGTACCTTGGAGTCTCTCTGAAGTGGGGGTAGTCGTGGCTCCCCCCCAGGGGGTTGGGAGAATTGATCACGCACCCCAACAAGCCATCCAGACTGAACGTTGCCTCTGTTACCATCCCCCAAGCTTCTCAGGGTAAACCTCTGTTTCTTTTATAACGAGAGGACTTGTGTCTGTGTATTCTGAGAATTCACAAGGAAGGGTCTGAAGGAGGGCTCCACGCCTCACTGTTTGCCGGGTGAGGGAGTGACAAGCGTACCGAATGCGTTTTCTGTGCAATTTCCTGCTATCATCGCTTTGCAGATGAGGAAAATGAGGCCAGGAGAGGTTAAGTGCTTTTACTGAGGACACAGCCAGGGCCCGCGGGGAGCAGGCCCACCCGTAGCTTGTGAGTGTTCCCTGGGCAGGTGCCCTTGCAGTGGGCAGGACCGGGCCTTGAAGGGTGGGGGCCCCTTCTGGCTGCCCACCCTGTGGGCCCTGTATTCTCAGGCCAAGTGACCAAGAGCTTGTGGTTCTGTTTCGGTTTTTGCATTCTTGGGCGCCTCGCAGGAGCAGAGAGGAAACCACAGAGGGCCTGGCGGTCCGAGCCCTCTGCCAGTTCCATGTCAGGCCCTGCTCATGGGGTGGGGGCAGGGGTGGTTGTGGCCCCCCCAGGTTTCTTCTGGAACTGTGTAGAGGAGGACTTTCTGCATTGACTTGCTGTAGGCACGAATCCCCTAAAGATAGTAATTACGCTAACAGATTGCTTTAGTCTTGCCTGCGCTGGCTTCAGAGGTGATGGAAGCCCCGCTCAGCTGGAGTATCTGAGCTTGGACTAATGAGGAGGAGGCAGCCGCCGGCCCAGCCAGCCAGGGCCCAGCGCTCACAGTGGAGAAGCTCCCGGTAGCAGCCCATTCAGTTACCAGAGCTGACTGCATGCCAGGCCACGCCTAGGCCGGGGGACATTTAAATTTGGAGGCGCAAAGCAAACTGCACCAGCGGGGGTAGTCCAAGCCCCCACTCCTGTCCATTTCCCGTGGTCAGGCCCAGACTGTGGTCTCAACATGATGCCATTTGAATTAGCGTCACAATACTATAAGGAAATGTTCTTTTGGAGAAGTGTCAGTGATCTTCATTATGAACTAGAAATCTGAGAGAGAGACAGTTTTCATCCTATTTTCACCTATGAGATCCACTAGCAGATTTCTCATCCGAAACCTTGGCCAGAGGGCGGGACGTTGATCTGTTCAGAGTGTTGGGGGGAAAGGCTGTCAACCAGGGGTCCTGTATGTGGCAGAACTGTCTTTCAAATATGAGGGAGAATCAAGACTTTTTAGAAAAACCATAGCTGAGAGTTTTTGTATGTTACTGAAGTTAAGCTGGTCTGAATCCACACTGGAGTGTTCTAACTTCAGGATGCCCAGTGTATCCCCTTGGTAGCCACAAAGAAAGTAACTCTAGACCATACACAAATGAAGTCGGAAAGGAATTGAAATGCTTTATTGAAAGAAAATCAGCTAAATACAAAAGAAGGCAGGCGTGCAGGAAATGTGGGCAAAGAAAGTTAAAACACACAGAAAAAAAATCAGCAAATGGCAGAAGTTTCACCTTAACTTTAAATGTAGTTGAATATAAGTGAATTCACCAAGTGGATTTTTTTTTTAATCAAACTATTTGGAGAAGATTAACTTTGGATCCAAGGACACACAAAAAAAGTTGAACATGAACTGATAGAAAAAAAAATTTACTCCATAAAATTAACAACCAAAATGGAATAGAAGACATTTTTATAAGGAATTTTAATATAGCAAGATTTAATAATTATAAACATTTACATTCTTAATGACAAACCACCAAATTATATGAAGCAAAATTTGGCAAAACTAGGTCTACTATAATAGCTGGAGATTCCAGTACTCCACTGTCAAAGAGGGAGAGAATCAGACAAAGTAGAGGACTCTATAATAAACCAGCGGGACCTCACAAACACATGCATGACACGCCCCAGCAATAATTGCATGCATATTCTTTCCAAGTGGACATGGGACATTATCCAGGAGAGACCATATGCCCAATAGCTATAAAAAAGATACCAGACAAAATATCTTATCCTACCACAATGGACGAAGTAAGAAATCGATAACAGATGGAACAGTGGGAAATTCACCCAAGTGGAAATTGAACAACACATTCTTAAATAACCACTATGTTGAAGAAATCACAAGGGAAATTGGAAAATATTTGAGACTAAAAAAGGCAAAACACAACATACCAAACTTAGGCAACACAGCTAAGCACTACGAGGGAGTTTATAGCTATGAATACTTAGATAACAAAAAAAGGAATCTCTGAAATCAGCTTAGCTTTGTAACTTAAGGAACTGGAAAAAGACATGTAAAGTCAACCCAAATCTAGCGGAAGGAAGAAGATAACAGAGCAGAGAGAAATCGAGAATGGCGACATAGGGGAAACCAACAAACCAAAAGCTGATGCTTTGAAGAGCTTAGCAAATTTGAATCATTAGCTAGACTGAGAAGGATAGAACACAAATTATTAGTCAGAAGTGAATATTGGGACATTAGTGACATTACGGAAATGAAAGGGGTTAATAAAAGAGGGCTGTGAACCGTTTAGCAAATTGTACTATCCATATCCAATGCAAAATCTCCTAGAAATACAAAACGCAAGACTGAGTCATAAAGGGAAAATATGAGTAGACTCACCTAATTGTCAGTGAGCAAAACCTGTTGGCAAAAGCCTTGGTCTGGATGGCTCTACCGGTGAATCCCACCTTCCATTCGAAGAACTCACACCAGTGCTTCTAACAGAAATCGCGGCTGCACCAGCACATCCCACTCGTCCCACGAAGACAGCGTCATCCTGCAGGTGCTGTGCGGGCAGGCAGGCGGGTCCCCGGGCACAGTTCTGTGCAAATCCACGGCAAGGCGCCACAGCCCAGGCCCAGCTGCCTCGAGCAAGGCCTGTGTCCCGTGACCAAGGCTGGCATTTATTCCACATTCAAGAGCTGTGGCCGGCACACCAAGAGAACGGAGGGTGAACGGTGACAAGAATCTCTGCTGATGCAGGAGAACCCACCGACACGTTTCAACATCTTTTATGGTGAAATTAGTCATCAAACTGGGCATCGAAGGAAACGACTTCAACATAATGAAAACCATGAAACGATAACGCCCAAAGAGCGTCGCCCGCATGTGAAAGCTGAAGATGTTCGAACTCTTCACAGCGTGAACAAGACAAGGTTGCCTGCTGTTCTGAGAGGCCTCGCCAGAGTTTCGAGACGAGGAAAGGAAGTAAAAGACACCAAAGACCGGGACGGAGGCGTAGCGTTTACTTTCAGATGACATGTTGCTCTCACATGTTCAGACTGCAAAGGTGTCACCAGAGAAATGTGATAACTGGGAAAGGAACGTGTCAAAGCAGCAGCCGTGTGGCGTCTCGTGGAATCTTGTACGGCCGAAACAGGATCGGAGACGGAACAGATTCGGAGGTCTCACACTTACCGTTTTCAGCGCTTACTGCGCGGGACAAGATCAGGCCCAGTGCCTGGTGAAGCGGAACAGGGGCCAGCGGGCGCCGTGGAAGCGCCTGGGGCGGGGCGTGCGGCGGGTGGACGGCCTTCGCGTGCGCGAGAGCACGGGCCCACCCGACGTCACGCACAGAGTGAACTCAGAATGACGTCACACCTACACGCTGGCGTTAGCCTCTTGGAAGACCACAGGGAGAGGCACCGCGACCCCGGGATGGTGGTGGCGCAGGGAACAGACTGCAAAAGTCAAAATAGCTAAATCGGACAACGTCAAAACTAAAAACCAACCCTCGGGGCATAGCGGGCAGGTCCGCGTGCAGGGGTAGCTGTGGAGTGGGAGAACGGGCCGCGGAGGTCGCTCAGGCCCGGTCAAATCCCCACACGTTATGTTGCCACTGTGTGCAGACTGAGTCCAGAGTTTACACGGAGAGGCAAAAGACCCTGACACGCCACACTTTACAAGAAAAAGACATTCTGTTGTCTGTATGACTAGGATGTGTTTGCCATATATACACTGGGGTTTTGTCCACGGTCCTGGGGCACAGCTCCCCAAACCCTCAGAACCTGCTGTGGTGGAGTGATCAGGGTGTCTGGACTTCTGTTCAGCGGGACGCACTGGAGGATGGGGCTGCGTGCCAGGGAACCGGCGTCGTGTGGTTAGAGATTTGGAACTTTCAGTCCCCCTGCCCTGGCCTGGGGACAGGGAGAGGGCCTGGTTCCATCAGTCATGTCTGTAATGACGGACGCCTCCACAAAAAACCCCAAGGGTGGGGATTCACCAGAGATAGAGTGGGGAGCAGAACAGGCAGATCTACAAAGTACACTGCTGAGGGGAGCAGCGGGGAGACAGGAGAGGTCTGCCGCTGTCAGCTCCGGGGCAGGGGATCAAACTCTCACCGAAGCTGCTGCAGCCAGCTTGCAGAGCTGCGCCCTAACATGTTGCACCACCAGGGCGGGCCTATACTTGATCTTTTTATGGAAACGCTTCATTGCATATCAAGCCCAGGGTGGAAGTCAGGGCTGCTGGCCGGTCGTGTCTCTCCCAGCAGGAAGTAAGCTCACAGCGACGGTTTGGTCTTGTTGCAGGGAGGCTGCCGCCGGGGTCTGAGCACTGCAGCGGTGTCAAGGTGAGAGCAGAGGCCCAGGGCTACGCCGCCCTCCTCGTCAGCTACAGACACGGCCACATCCACCTGAGCGCCCGGATCACCATCGCCGCCTACCTGCCGCTCAGGGTGAGCCTGGATGCCCTGCCTCTACCTCGTCCTCCTGCGAATGGCTCGTTTGCTTTGGCCCGTTTGTGTCAGCAGCCTGGTGGATCAGGTGTCTGTGGTGCCCGGGTGGCACCAGGAGCGATGTCGGAGGATGGCCGCTGATGGCCAGCACCCTCGTGGGGGAGGTGCTCGCAGATCTCGCCACAGCCGCCTGTCACCTCGGGAGCCCCGCAGGGGGCCAGCCACCCATGTGTGTCCTCGAGGGCCTGGTCAGGTCTGCGAGCCCCTCTATGGTCCGTGGCCAGACGGTGCCAGCATGGGGCTCAGAGACTGCACTGAGCCGGCTCCCGTAGGTGACTCCGGCTCTGACGTGCACTCTGTGCTGTTGGGTGCATTGCATTTCCCTGGGCCTCAGTTTCTCCATGTGTCATATAGTACCTTCCTCCTAGGCTTGGGGTGAGGGTGAGCCGAGCTAACGAACGAGGTGGCTTAGAACAGGCCCAGGACGCGGCGCCTGCCTATAGACGCAAAGACCTGGGCCAGCCCCAAAGGTGTTTGGGAGGCCACACATGGTAGCTGCCACGTGGCAGGGGTGAATTGTGGCTGCCACTGCTTGAGCCCTGCCCCATGGGGAAGGCCCGGAGAAGGCGTGTGGGTGGGCAGTTCCCGCCCTTCAGGGCAGGTCTGGGGATTGCCCCAGGCTGGGTTGGCCATGCTGACTTCCGGGCGGCTCTGGTTTGTCCATGTTTTCATCTCCTGTAACCCACTAGCAGCTGCCCAGTGGTGGCAGAATCTCACCTCTGAAGCCCCAGCCCGGTATAGGGCTGTTCAGAGCAGGCCACAGCCAAGGCTTCTTGGCCGTTCTTCCACCATCCAGGCCTCACTGGCGTGTTACTACGGGTGCCGGGCATACACCATCCGGTGTGCTCACATTGCAAAGGGCTCCACAGTGAGTCTAATTAACCGCTGTCACAGGTACATTTTTCCCCTTATGAAGGGAACTTTTAGGATCTACCTCTTAGCAACTTCCAGGCATGCACGACAGCACTACACGCATCCCTGGTCTGTCTGCACATCCCGGGCCCGGCTTCTTTTACTTCTCGAAGTTTGTACCTGGGGCCCCTTTGCTCCCATTTCTCCCTCCCTCACCGCTCGCGTGACCGTCCGTCTGTTGTTTGTGTCAGTGAGCTCGGTTTTTATGATTTTAAGTTCTTTTAGATACCACGTATAAGCGGGGTGATACGGTATTTGTCTTTCACTCTTGGGCTTGCCTCACGCAGCCTGATACCCTGGGGTTCCAGTCATGTTGTCAGAAATTGTAGGTTTCCTGGCTTATTTTTTGTGGCTGAGTAATATTCCCTCGTGTGGTTATGCCTCCGCTCGTTTGCCACTTTGCCGTTGATGGACACTTAGGTGGCTTCTGGGATTTAGCTATTGTGGAGAAAAAAAAAAAGGCACAAAATATGATGCTGTGAACAGGGTGGGTGCAGATGTCTCTTCAAATTAGTGTTTTTGTTGCCTTTGAATGTAATTCCCTGAGTGGAATTGCTGGCTCACTGGTAGCTTTTCTTTTCATCCGGCCAGGAGCCGCCCGTTCTGTGCCAGGCTACATTCCCACCCAGTGTGCCTCCTGCCAACAGTGTCCTCCTGCCCTTGGGCGATGACCTCTCTGAGGGGCGGGAGGGGGTGGCCCCCGTAGTTGGTTTGCACGCCTTCAGAGCTGAGTGACAACCCTGAGTGTCCCCGGCGCCCACACCGCGTTCCAGGGACGCGCTGGGCTGCCTGGCCTCTGGGGTGAGTCGCCACAGGTGAGGACCCGGCTCCAAGGGTCCTGAGGCTTTTGTGTTTCTCGCCACAGGCCGTGGACCCCTCCTCTGTTGCCTTGGTGACCCTGGGCTCGTCAAAGGAAATGCTGTTCGAAGGCGGCCCCAGGCCCTGGGTCCTCGAGCCTTCCAAGTTCTTCCGGAACGTCACCTCTGAGGACACGGACAGTGTCCACCTGGCCCTCTTTGGTCCCCCCACCTCCCGGAACCACCAGCAGCACTGGATCCTCGCCACCTGCCGGGCTTTGGGCGAGCAGGCGCGTGGCCACCCTAGACGCTCCTCCAGGGTGGGGTGGGAGGCACACCGGGGTGTGCCTCAGTGCCCTGTGCCACATTCCCAAGGCTCGGGACCGGGCACTCGTTTTGCTCATCATGGGGTGTCCCCTCATTCCCCCGAGCCCCGAAGGGGGGCTGGCAGGGCTCTAGAAAGCTCAGGAGAGTGCGGAGGGCTTAGCCGGGAGCAGGACTCTGACTCGGGTGTCTGCTGCTCCCCCGCGCTCCAGGTCGTGGCCCTCTCGGTGGGGAACAGGCCCAGTGTCACCAACCCCTTCCCTGTGCTGGAGCCCTTGGTGGTGAAGGTCGTGTGCGCGCCGCCCTCCCGGCTCACGCTCACGCCCGTCTACGCCAGCCCGCAGCTGGACCTGTCCTGCCCGCTGCTGCAGCAGAACAAGCAGGTGGTGAGTGTCGCTCGGGGGGCTGCGCCGTGCCGGGCGGGGGTCCGTTGCCACACGTGGAGCCCACCGCTGGCAGGGGTGGGGGGAAGGAGGCTCGTGAGGCTCGGGGGTGTCTTACCTCCCCCCACCCCGTCCGGGCTCAGCTCCCTCTCTGCTGGGCACTTGGCGTGTGCCGCCCGCCCTTCTGGACTCGGCATTCGGGCGGGGGCTGCTCACGGGCAGCGTGTGTGCGGTCAGCAGACTGCTGAGAAGCGGTGGGTGACCAGCACCTTCCACCCATGTGTGGGGCAGGTGGGCTGCGATTCAGGCATGAATGTGGGGAGGGGAGGTAAATAGCCTGGGCCGCCCTGCATGCCTGGGTGTAAAGCGACACCCACAGTCGGGGCCAGCACGCCCAGCCCCTTGCTGCCCGGTGATCATGGGGGAGAAGCTTCCAGCGGGCCTGGCCGCCGCCCCTTCTCAGCCCCCTTTCGTCGGCCCGGCCTGTATCTGTGAACGCCGCTGCTCGGCACATCCCCAGGTTCCGGGGCAGAGTGGTCAGGGCAGGTGAGGCTCCGGCCCCTCCGAGCTCTCAGGGAAACCGGGCAGCCCACAGTGGGCGAGAAGGGTCAGAGAGCGGGACGTGCCTTTCAGGGGCTGAAATCCAGGGTGGAGGATGGCACCAGAGGCCACTCAGAGGTGGTGGGCTGGGCAGAGGGCATTCCCAGTGGCGACTGCTACTCGCTTTAGCCATACTACCCTCTGCTTAAGCCAGGCGGTGGCCGGACTTCACCCAGAGCACAAACCAGCGCCCCACTGCCCTGCAGGCCCGAGGATCTCCTTCCCTGCTTGCCTGGGGTCTCAGCTGGCCCTGCCCTTGGGCCTGAGCTCTCCCTGCCTTCTCCAGCCTGTAGACCGCCTCTGGAGGCCCACTCCCACAATGTTCAGCATTGCGTTCCCCCCCCCCCCCCAATCATCTAACACTGCAGATGTAGAATTCGGGAATTGGTTTTCTTCTGTCTGAGTCTTGGGCAGAGCTGTGCTCGTGGGGGGGAGGAGGCAGCGTGCTGGGTGAGGGAGTGCGAGGGAGCATGCTGTCTGCCTCCCTGCTGTCTTCTGCCCTTGATGCTTGCAGGCTCGGATGGCTGCAGCAGCCAAGCCAGGGTGCTGCTAAAGGGGGGCACCCAGGAGACAGTGCAGACCCGGAGAGCAGGTTGCTCAGGAGCACGGCCCCCTCCCTTCAGCCGGTTCATTTCCAGGCTGCGCAAACCAGTCAGCTCTGCGTGCATCTTGCTAGGCCTTAAATAGTGGGCATTTGCCTGCGAGTGTGTCCGGGCCTCTCTCTGCTGTTCCTTCTGGGTCAGCCCCGGGCTCCCCTCTGGACTGAAGGATGGTGGTCGGGCAGTGGAGCGTGGCCTTGACCTGGCCGCCGTATGTCATCAGTCTCCCTTACCGGGAGACCATGACTTCAGACATGGAATTGCTGCGTGATCCATCCGTCCGGGGGTCTCAGAGCTGTGATCCATTCGGGCCTGGCCCCTGCGACTTGCGGTCTCGTTAGGAGACCTTGAGAAAGGCAGGTCCGGGTACAGCACCCTGGGTGCAGAATCTGTAATTGTATGCCTGTCCGGAGTGCAAGGCTGCCCAGGAAGCGTTCGCAGAGCGCATTATTAGCAAGCCCAGACCCCAGAACAGAGCTGGCAAGTCGGGGTGACAGTGGAGCCGCTCTTGACCCCTCCCCCCGCCCCGCGCCTTCCCAGGCACGATGAGCGTGGCCAGGGGCTGCTGTGGCGAGAAGGAGCGTGGCGGGCCCTGCTCTGGCCATGAAATCGTCTCCGAGAACTGTCACAAGTGATGTAGCACATTCCACTGGCCTGAGCAAGTGGCGTGATCACCGTGATCCTCCTGGCGGCCAGGGCCAGAGGTGTCCAGCCCTTCCTGCTGGCCCCAGGCCTGCTGCAGACCTGGACACATTTCTGAACGCTGCCAACAAGGGCCTGTTTACCCCTTGACTGGTAATTACAATGAGCCAGGCTCTTCAAGTGACCCCCGACCTTTACCGAGACAGCCTCAGGGAGCGGCTTCCTCCCGAAGCCCCCCGGGATGGGACTTCCGCGCTCTGGGGCAACGAGTAGCTCAGGTGCTAAGCGCTGGAGCTGGGCTTGAGTCCCGCTCAGGACACAAGACCCAGAGGTCTGTGTGCTCGGGGGGCCCCCGCTTCGTTGCCCACCCCTCCCGCCCCCACGCCACTAGTCAGGGAGGGAAGTGGGGAACAGTGTCTGGGAGGAGTGGGGCCCGCCGGGGGCTGGTGGAGGGCAGGACTGGCCCCAGGAGCAGGAGACAGTGGAGGGAGAGGGAGGAGCCAGCTTGGGGGCCGGAGGCGGGTGAGCCACAGGCCTCTGACACCCCCTCCCCACCCTCCGGACTCTGCTCCCCCTTAACATGGGCGTGGCAGCTCCTGCCTCACTGGGGTCTTTAAGGATCAGGTGAGAACTCAGCGGCTGCTGTCCTGGCTGCCATGTGGGGGGCGCACATGGGCAGGGCACAGGAGAGCAGGATTGAAGCGGGTGGCATGGAAGGAGAGCGCCTGTCTGGGGGTGGGCGCGGGGACGGTGTTGGGTAGGGTCCCCCAGTCCTGGCCCTCTTGACACTTGGGACCAGGCCTGCTCCCCGTCGAACCCCCTGTGCACAGCCCTTTCTGCTCACCTGCTGAAGTGACCTGGTAGGGCTTTGACATGCAGCAGGTCAGACTTACCCCACCCCCTCTCCAGGCCCCTCATGGGCCCACAGGGCAGCTGGCCAGCTTCGGGGCGCACGGTGTGGTCAGGAGTGACTGCCTCCGCCCTGGCTGTGACCCGGGCACTGGCCTTGACTCTTTCAGGTGCCCGTCTCCAGCCACCGCAACCCCCTGCTGGACCTGGCCGCCTATGACCAGCAGGGCCGCAGATTTGACAACTTCAGCTCTCTGAGCATCCGGTGGGAGTCCACCAGGCCACTGCTGGCCAGCATTGAGCTTGACCTACCAATGCAGCTGGTGTCCCAGGACGACGGGAATGGCCAGAAGAAGTTGCATGGTGAGCTGGGGTGGCCACGCCCCTGGCTCAGGACAGGACAGAGCAGCAGAACCTCAGGCAGCTGAGAGGGGGCTGAGGAAGACCAACAACGGCTGGAAGCTGTTATCTGGGGCTCCCCATGATTTGGGACTAGAACTTAGGGACCACTGTAAGGGAGAGACTAGAGTCCCTATTTCAGAGGTGGGGAGATGTTACAGGGCAGCGTCAAACCCGGGGTTAAACGAGGGCAGTTGGCTCCGGACCGGGCTCCGCGGCCAGCTGCCTTGTACACACACCGCCCGCCCCCGCCCCCGCCCCCGGCCGGAAGTCCGTGTCCCCCCGCCATCCAGGCTGCCCTGCGGGAAACCTTGCCCAGGGCCCGTGAGCCGAGGTCTGTGTGGTTTGAGCACACCCAGCCGTCTCCTTTAGGACTGTGGGAAGTTAAGAGTGTGAATCAGAAGGGCGGGGGTGGGGCGTGGGGTGACACAGGCCCGTGGGCGGAGTCCAACGCGCGCCTCTCTCCTGGGCTCAGGTTTGCAGGCCATCTCGGTCCACGAGGCGTCGGGGGCCGCCGCCGTCTCGGCCACCGCCGGCAGCTACCAGCAGGCCCACCTGGACGCGGCGGGGGTGAAGCAGCCGGTGTGTCCTGCGGCCCCTACCTGACCCCTTGTTCCTTATCCCTCCCCGTTCGGCGGCTGGACCACCGGCCTCACGCAGGCCTCTGCTGTCTGCCCACCCCGCGCGCCTGCACTCGGGCGCCTGGAGGCGTTGACATAGAAGGCAGCTGGCCCGCCCCGCTCAGTGCCTGCGGGCGCCGAGACGAAGCCTCCGGCATTGCCCACCGGGGCTCCCCGTGCCCCCACCGACGGGCCCCACCACACTGGCCCAGGTGGTCCTTGACCTTGAGCCCACACTCCTGCCCCCGCAGTGACCCCCATGCCCAGGCTGGTCAGCCCTTAGTCAGTTGCCGTGTGCCCCAAGAGCCCCTGATTTCGAGGGCTCTGCGGAGCGGCACGTGTGGTCCGGCCCAGCAGGTGGGGGGCCCCTGTCGCCCTGACAGGCAGGGGTGTCTCCAGGGGCCGAGGATGCGGCTGGGCTGGAAGCCCACGTGGTTTGCTCGGGGGTTGGGGCCGTGTCCCACACACAGGTGACAGGAGCTGGGGCCTCGGGTGCTCTCCCCAGAGCGGGGAGGGGGGCCTGTGGCCTCCTGACTGACGGCACGGGCCTCGCCTCTTTAGCACGACCCCCTCGCGCCCGTGTCGGCCTCCATAGAGCTCATCCTGGTGGAGGACGTGAGGGTGAGTCCGGAGGAGGTGACCATCTACAACCACCCAGGTGTGCAGGTACGGCCCTTCCCCGCCCCTGCGCTGCCCGGCCCGCCGCGGGCGCCCCCAGCCTCTGACGCCCGCCCGGCCCCGCAGGCAGAGCTGCACATCAGAGAGGGCTCCGGCTACTTCTTCCTCAACTCCAGCGCCGCGGACGTCATCCAGGTGGCCCACCAGGAGGCCAGGGGCGTCGCCGTGGTGAGTGCGGGCGTCTCCGCGTCCCTCGTGCCTCCTCCCAGGCGGCCTGTGGCCACGGTGGCTCCGTCCGCCGCTGACACTGGCTCACCGGCTGGCGACCTGCACGGCCCTTTGGGGCTCTGCTTCGGTGGTGGCCAGACTGGAATCATTCGCCCGCTGCCCTTGTGGTTTCTGTTCCCTGTCCACAGACTGCCCACACTGTCGGGGGTGGTTTCCTCTCGGTCAGTCTTTTAATTTAGAGCAAAATATCACTGCATAAGCACCGCCACAACAACCGTCAGGAAAACTGCCTTTGAGGTAGCTGTCGACTGTGCCGGTGCTGCACGTTCCTTAGCCGTGCCCGTGGACGGGTGTGGTGAGCACCCCACTTTCTTCAGGGATTTTAGCCTGAGTTCTCCCCACAGGCTGGCTGTTTCTATGCTGTCATTTGTACCTTGTCACTTTCTCCTTGCAGAACATTTAAATTTTGTTTGTTTGTTTGTTTTTTAATGGTCCCATTGTCATAGCAAAGGGTAAACACAAATACAGATACTCTACAGCTTTGCGTTAGGATGCAGGCACGAAAACTGAACTGTGCTTAAGAGGAAACTCACCACCATCAAACTGCCACCATGAGGCACAAACACAGGCCCCCAAAGCCCGGGGCAGGGACACCCCACTTGTCACTGACCTGCAGCTGTGCACCTGCCTCAGACGAGCTGGGCCCGAGACCCGCTTTTCCTTGGTGAAGGCCACATGTCCAGGGTCGTGACAGCCGCCAGCACCAAATGGGCCTTCTCTCAGACTCGAAAGAGACCTGGGTAGCTCTGGTGTGTGGTGGGGACCCAGTGGTGCAGCGAGGGGCTTAGCGTGGCCTCCCCACCCCCATCACGAGCCGTCGCACAGGTGGCCAGCCAGGAGACGCCCATGCCGGCCTCTGGCGTTGCCTCGTTCATGCAAGAGGCGAGCAGCAACGTGAAGCAGGCTCCCCTACTTGCAGGGACGTCTGAAGTCAGAATGAAGCTTCCAGAAGCAGCAAGGTGCCCCGTCTGCGTTGGGCAGGGGGTTGGCAGCACAGGCAGAAGGCCTGGAGAAGGTCACCTCACTCCCTGCAGGGTTTTTCGGTCTCGGCCCCCTTCAGACTCGTCCCTCTGACTCTGCATCCACTGCTGTCCTGCCATGGGGGTCACGCAGTCCCTCACCTCTAAGGTGAGGTAGAGTAAATGAGAGCAACACGCTGGATGCGTGGAACATACCTGGGAGTGTGATGCGCACAGCATCTGCCACTGAGCCTCCTGTGGGGCACTCTCGGGGGCGCGGCGGGCAGCAGAGGCCACGTCTGAAGGACAGCCGCCGCGCACATCTTGAGGCTTGTGTTAGTGCCATCCGACACACCCCTTAAACATCGCCAATCAGTGGAGTTTAGTGTATTAGCAGATCGTACAACTGTCACGTTAGTTTGAGAGTTTTCATCACCTCAAAAAAAAAAAAAAATAGACATCACCTTCCTGTTCTTACACACACAACCTTGGATTTTATTCTGTTGTTGTTGTGTATTCTATTGCTCTTACGTTAATTGACTTCAGATTTTAAACCAGCCTTGCCGTCTGGGATATACGCTGCCTGGTTAGCTAGGCCTAGACACACCTGGATTCAGTTTGCTAGCGTTTCCTTGAGAATTTACATCCATGTCCACAAGAGAAGATGTAGTTTTCATTTCTGAGTTGTCTGCCTGGTTCGGGGTGTCAGGATAACCTCAGCCTCAGTTGTGTGAAATTGGTAACAATTACTCTTCAGTGTTTGGTAGGCTTAATCAAAGAAGCCTTCTGAAATGCGCTGCCTTCCTGGGGAGTTCTTTGATTACGGATTCAGCCGCTCATCTATTACGGTCTATTCCTGTTGTCTATTTCATTTTGATTCAGTGTTGGTAGTTTGTGTCTTTTTAGGACACTTCAGGGATTTTGTTACTTTTTTTTTGACATCTTTCGACCTTGGTCCTCAGCCGTCGGGTGTGCAGCGTCACCTGGGTGGGGATGGAAGTGTCTTCAAGGCCTGTGGCTTGGGCTTCTCCCCCTAAGTCAGCAGTGAGGAGAACCCAGCCTGGGCACCCGGGAACATGCGGGCTGTGAGGGGGGCTTGAGGGCTGCCAGGGCCTGTGAGTGTAGGAAAAGCTCCCCCGGCTGTTTTTATCTCCTTACAAAAGGAGGAGGAATTCCCTGCCCCGTTCTGCCATGGAAATGAGACTTCATTGTCAAGTCCGTCACAGAGGCAGGCAACTTCGAGGTGTAGATAGTCCCACCCACTTAATCACCTCTGTAGATTAGAACCAGCTCCCCAGTTACCAAGAATAGGGCGGTTCAAACTATATACCAGAGACATTTTACAAGGGTGGAGTGGGAAATGGGATCAAAAATGGTGTGTGTGTTGGGAGTGCACTGGACAGGGTGATTTGGTGCTGGGAAGCCCACGGGATGACCACTGCGATGGGAAAAGGCACAAAATGACGTAAAAATAAACTGTCGTGTTAAAAAAGCAAAGAATAGGGGGGTTCAAATAGGAAAGACACGTATAGTGCCCGCGACGCTCGGGCACCTTCTCTGCCCACATGTCCTCAGCCGTGTTTGAGGAAGCCCTGAGGGCAGACCGTGGCCGGAGTCAGGCCTTCCCTCCAGGCTCTGGCGCACGTGAGGCTTCGTGGGTCAGGGCTGCCCGCGGGGTGGCCTGCACGCCCTCCCTGCTGCCCCGCGCCTTGACCGCTGGTGTCTGCCCTGCTGCCAGGCCCCGCAGAGCCTCGGGGCCCCGGGAGGAAATCAGGTTCTTTGCCGACTTGCTTCTTTGTGACCCACAGGAGGAATTTTTCATGGAGCGTTGACAGTCAGTGATAAGTCCCAGCAGATGGTGGTTTCTGAAGGACGTTTACACATTTCTTCGGCATTTCCCAGCTGCTAATTAGCAGCATTCTCATTTCCCTTCATCAGAGAGACGAGAAAGCCCACAAAGTCGTTCAGTTAGCGCCTGGAAAATGTTTCTTTCCTTCCTACCGATGCAGGTTCGGGCTCCCCGGTGTGTTCCGGCCCCGCGTGTCTGGACGGGGCAGGGGCTGCACCATCTACCCACTTGGCAGCGCTCAGTTCTGGGGGCACCGCTCCCTGGCGCGAAGGAGCCGTGACCTCGCGGCCGGCTTGCGTGTCGTCACTGCCTGATTGACACTCAGGGTTTCTTTCTGCTCACCAAGTCTTTACCTTTCAAAGTCAGGCCTCCAGGCAGAACTCGGGCAACCGTGAAGAGCAGAGGAGACTGGGGTGCCGGGCCCTGGACCCCACATGCGCGCTCAGTAGGCAGGTCCTGACCTGCCGGGACAGATCTGGGCACTGGGCTCAGCGCTGAGCCACTCGGATGGCGGCAGGCGGGCAGGTGCCCAGGCTGCTTCCCTCCACCTCCTCGGCCTGGTGGGGCCAGTCAAGGTGCCACTGTCCCTCCAAAGTGGCACACGAGCTAAGCATCTCCTCGAGATGCTCCTTGAGCGGCAGTAGCTCTGGGCTTCAACTCAGATGCGTCCTGCTGCCCCCGGGAGTGACCAGTGGGCAGAGGTGTCTGTCCAGCCCCGGCCCTGCAGGAAGTTTTGGGGCTGGCTAGGACCCTGCATGAAGGTTTATTCACCTCCCAGAGATTCTCAGTGAATTTTGTGTCCTTGAGGGCATCTAGCGGGCATCGCCTGGCCACCATGTGACATTGATGGGCTCGCCGGGGGGGATCAGGAGCTGATGGCGTCAGTGGCATTTGGAAATACCTGTAGGGTCTTCACTCCTCTAGAGCTGCCAGAGACAAGTGTGATGAGGCCCAGGGCAGCGACGCGCTGGGCCTCGGGGCCTGGCAGGTGTGAGTGGATGTCGTGGCTTCCACCAGCTGCAAAGCAGAGCACCTCGGGCTCTGTGTCAGCCCCTTAATGAGCAGTAATGCATTCAGCATCTCCTGGGAGATGACAGGACTCTCCCCTGGCTCCGGATTCGCAGGCGCTCGCAGCCAGCACCTCCAACACTGGGAAATTAGCATTTATCCAGCGACTGGACTTCCCACCGCCCCGCCCTCCCTCGCATTCATTCTCTGTGTGCCAGTCAGGAAGCAGGTGGGTCCTGAAGCGGCCGACATGGGCGGGCGACAGGCGCACACCTGTGGGGGCCCAGGTCCCCTCCGCCCCAGCGGCCGGCGGCCCCTCACGTCCCCACGTGTGGCTTCTTTGTCTCAGAGCGGCCTGACGAGCGCTTCTCAGGGCCTGGGGTGAGGGGCGCGGGCCGGGCTGCCCGCCTGGGTGACCGCGCGGAGGCCGCCTCCCGTTTCTGTCATCCAGAAGGTGACGGGTCCCAGCCCCTGAGAAATCAAGTGGGCGAGGAATTGGTTTGCCCAGTGCCATTTTACGGCTCGCTTGAGATGTGCAAGTCCTTTTGGGGAGAAGCGCCCCTGCGCCCAGCGTGGCCGTCAGCTGTGCGTGTGGTTTCTCGTGAAGGGCGAGCCAGCCCCCACGCGCCACTCGAGCAGGGTCGGCGCAGAGCCTTGAACGTGTCCTCGGAGAACTCGCCTTTCTCTGTGCTTTGTGCACGAGACCTTTGAGGGGCACGCAGCGAAGCAGGGTGGCTCGGCCCCAGGGGGGTGGAGACCGGCCACCTCCTGGCCCACGCCGGGGCCCACTCGGCACCGGGCCGGGGTGGGGATGGCTCAGGTTCCCCAGCACGGGGGTGAGGGGGGGTCCCCTGCCCTGTATCATCCTCGGACCTCTCCGAGCCGCGTGTGACATCACCGGCATGCACCTGCGTTTGTGGGTCCCGAGTCAGCGATGGCGGAAGTTGCAGCCCTCCCTGCTGCCCCAGCTGTGGACTTGGCCTCACTCAGCTCTGGTCTTTTCCTGCCAACCCCTGTCCACTCCTTTGGCCAGCAGTTCCAGTCTGACCGCTGGAAGCACTGACTCTGGGAAGTGGCCCAGTGTGGGGGAGGGACCCGCCCCTCCCCAGAGGGCTCCTGGGTTCTCGCCCCAGGGTGCTCTTCAGGGCTGTGTTCCCATCCCGCCTGGACCTCAGTCTCCCGTGCAGAGCCAGTGCGCCCCGAGTACATGAGACCCTGGGCGTGCAGGCTTCTTTGTCCTGAATTTCCAAATCGTAACAAAGCTAAAGGAAAAG